ATTGGGCTTTTTGAGACACATGCTGTCGAAAGTCGTCAGCCGAATGAGATGATAAGCATAGCTTGATTCTGGATTGAAGTAACCTAATGAATGCATGGCAATGATTTATGAAGACTCGTGTACTTTTGATTGATGCCCCTATGACGGGTCGTGGATGATTAAAGTGTTGAGGTTTGCCTATGCAACAAGGTTGCTTGTCACATGATGGTTGAATATTATGCTATCATGATTTCCCGATACTCGATTTAAACTTGAAGATTGCTGATGTAGGAGAAAGATCCACTGGAGAAAGTACGCGGAGAGCTTGCCCCTATGTAGAATGTCTTGCCCTAATTTGTTGGTATGGTCTTGGAGGAGATTATCTTTGATATGAGCTTAGAAATAGTTTGATCATAATATGATTGAACCCACTATTTTACACTATGCCCTGATTAAAAAGACTCTTGAAAATGTTTGGCTTCGATGTACCATTTTGAATCAACTCCTTTTCGTCGAGCCTCACTGTGATTTGCCCCAACGTTCGAATTTTGAAAGATATGCCCCCCAATTTTCAGGATCTGGAGAAAAGTATCCTTAGAAAGAACTTAGACCTCACCATGAACTTGACATAGATTACCCCATATGTTCGGAGCTTGAAAAGTTTATACTTGAAGTTGCTCGAAGAATTTGGACCCTACATGCGGTAGGATGAACTTGGTACGTACTGCCCTAACATTTGGAAGGTTGCCCCTGAATCAAAGCCTTAATAGGTTTGTTAAGACGAGCAAACCAAGTCATACCCTGTCATGATATGACTTGATTAAGGAATGCTCCTTCGAACAGTATGCCCCTGATTGAACAATGCTTTGAAATTTGATCCGAGTTGATTGAATCTCAGAATGATCACCCCTTGTCAATAACATCTTCATGTGATATACCTCTATGATCATTAGTAGTTGCCCCTATTTATATGAGTCTTCTTAGATGCTTTTCCCCTTGTTAGAAGCTTCTTGGAAATGTTGCCTTTGATCAAACCATTTTTGAAATCTCCTTGATGCTAAGTATTGATTCGTAGATAAAATTATACACTTTGAAAAGTAATTCCGTTTGATGCACATGCAAGTTCTTGAAATCAAAGTTTGATTATGGAATAGAAATGGATGATTAGAGATGGATATTCAAAGAAGCGAAGTAATTAGAAATAATTTTAGCAAAAGTAGGAGTCAGTTTAACATAAATTTCGCCGAGTATGCTTTCATAGTGAACCTAACTTCAATTAGGACTTTTGAAGGTTGTAACGTGGCCATGGTTCATGGTTTAAGAAAAAAAGATATAAGGCTCAAAATTTTCTTAGCCCACCCCATTCTCCTTGACCCTCTTCAATCCTAAGTTCAATTAATCCAACAGATGCATTTAATCCCCAAGAGAAACTTTATAGTCGCGCAGATGATGAGAAGCGTAGATAAGATCCAAGCATTTGATAAGATCTAAGCGTTTATGAGAAGCCTTTGAGGTGGCAGTCACAAGATTTTTCTCCAATTTTTTTTCAATCCCTTATTCTTACACGTACCGATTTTTTTCCGAATTTCTTCGTCCCATCAAGATGCCCTAACTTTTGCCTAAGTAAATTTTTTTTTTGCTTTTTGTTTTTGACTTAGAGGGCTCTCTCTTTTTTTGAAATTTTTTCTTTTGAGATTCTTTTTGTTTTTAGATTTTGAAAATTTGTGACTATCACGCTGATTATTGTAAGCTTCATATTCATTGTTTTCCCCGATTTTGAATGATGTATTGAGGAAAAAGATTTCGTGGACTTTATCTTCATTGATTCCTCAATCTTGGATGATGAACGCAAGGAAGATGATATGCTTGAACCTTTGCTTAGATCATTTCCTCAATGATGTATCGAGGATGGAGATGTGCTTGAACCGTTGCTTAGATGGCTTGATTCTCTTGAGATTTGAATGCATCGTTGAATTAATTGAAATCTACCCTGCCCCTGGTTAAGATTAATGTTATTTATTTAGAAAATAGAAATAACTTCGACTTCTGGATCGAGGGGTTGACTACAGATTATCTCCTTATATCTCCATTATTTGGGAAGTGAAATAATGCCTTGCATCGTCAGCTCGGTCTTACCATTGAAAGCATAGTTTAGCAAAATTCAGTTATTTAGTTTTCATCATTCTCCTACAAAGTTTGTTAAAGAAGATTTAAAAATGGAAAAGAGGAGTGAAAATGGAAAGTCGTTGATTATTTATTGAAAGTGATGAAAGATGAAGAGTGAAACGAATGAATTAATTTCAAAACATGCATGCTCATTTTATTAGAATTACTAATCAAAAGATACAAGTTCACACCAAGTACAACTTAGCAACTTGGAAATTACAATTTGAAATTGATAATGTCTAATGATCATATTGAAGAACTTTTTAGTTTGATCCACTTGACTTTAGGAGAGCTTTTGGATATTCTTGGACTTGTCAAAGCATGGGGGTGACCCTTGACTTTATTTGGCATACCTATTTCGTGATGGCATTGCTCTTGATGATATTGTTGCTTTTGAATCACCAATCATAGTTGTATCTGAGGCGTTGTGTGGGCCTGTATAGTGAAGGGTTACCTTCTCTTTTTAATTAGACTTGTAGGACCAAGCTCAATTGAGTCTCCAATATTTAGTCTCATACTTCCAAAGTTTCATATTTTCTTAAGCTCATTTGCGATTACCAATAAATTAGCTAGCATATGGATAAGGGTTGGATAAGGGCGAAGGCGGAAATGCATGAGATGCAAATGTATGCATGTATGTGAATGCATGGGAATGCAAAATTATTTTTTTTGGCTTTTGGATATGCAAAAAAGTTTCATAGATATGAAATGTGATGCAGACGTAGTATGAGGGTAGACGTAGGGTACCCTATACAAGTTTTATGGTTGATATGGAAATGATGATGTCCTACACTGACTCAGAAATTGAGACGAGCAGAAACTCTTTGAGAAGAAAGAAAGACGAAGAAGAATCTCTACAGGCTGGGGATTATAACAGAGGGACGGGAATTCCTACAGGCTAGAAATTGTGATAGACCAATGGGAGGTTAAGGGATCCCTACAGGCTAGGGGTTATGACTTGCGAAAGATAAACCCTACAGGCTAGGGATTGTAGTGGGTGAAAAGATAACCCTTGCGGGTTTAAAGATTGTAGTGGAATTTGTGAAAGGTATCCTTAGAAGGTAGGCTTCTAGTTTTGGCCTACGAATATTCTATCCTCCTCATAAGGTGGATTCTTTAAGGGTATCATGAATAACACAAGAGGGAAAGGCACAAGGGCCTCCCTTAAGTGGAGCCTCTTTATAGACCAAAACGTTCATCTCTAGGTCATGAAAGGTCTCATCATGAGTTTTTGGTTTAAAGGCCGTACAAAGAGTCACAGGTGTCATTCAAAAGTCCTACTTCCCAAGAGGATGTCTCTTGAGAGGTATTCCTTTTGCGGAATTCCACCGAATCTAGGCGAAGTCGTCACATAAAATCATAGGGATGATGTATCCACTTGGCTAATAGACGAATCTTCTTTCTAAGGGTTTTTGAAAATATTTTTTGCGAAATTAAAATCCCACCACAGGTGAATAAATATAATTAATAATAATAAAAATAAACAAGAAATAAATAAATAAATAAGAAAGAATAAAAAACCCAAAAAATAAGAAAAACCCTAAAACCTAAAGGAAAGGCTTCTAAACCTACAGTTGATTCCCCCGCAGAGTCGCCAGCTATTGCAACTGGTTTTTAATACAGAGTCGCCACAAGGATACTAGGTTTAGAAGCGCAAATTTTAGGAAATAAGGCTTTAAGTTTATTAGGGGAACTCACCACGATTTTAGTTGTATGCCTACGTATCCTCTTAGGAGTAATCATAGTCCCATTTCGTAGTTCACAGTGCTTGTTGGTGTTTTTTATAGATTGCATAGAATTGCTTTCAAATTAACCTTGAACCTTGTCTGAGTTATAATTGAGTGATCGTAGACGCAGTTCGCAGTTTTATTCGAAGACAATGCTATTTAATCCTTTTTGAAAATGATCTTGAAGTTTTGGTTAAGTTAGTAAAAAACTTTTTGATGTTGGTTAGTTGTTTTAAGATGTTGAGCAGGGGAGTCTGATGTAGCCTCCTCATTAGGTGGCCAGATATTGACCACATGTCATTCACAGATGGTGAATTGGATGATTTGCGTGGATTTTAGTTATTTGATTTTGAATAATAAACCGGTAGGTAATGTGTCGACCTATTTAATTACTCGAAGATGGACATCCTATTATTTATAGAATGTTATGGATTATAAAAGTTTTTGAAATTATGCATATGATTAGTATTTTATTCAGAAGAATATGTACAAATTTAAATAGTCTAAATAATCTAAAACCTAATAAAACAAGTATTTGTATTTTTTTCTAATATTTTCAGTAAGCAATTTAAATCACCTAAATTAAATTAACAAATAAAAATAAGAGAGGTGCTCAGTTAGCATAAACAGGGTGCAAATAGAACAACCAATGCCCAAAATCAAGGACCACACAAACCCTAATTTCTATTTTAATTTAAATAAAAAATAAATGATTAAATGTATTAAAAACAATGACACATGGGCGGTGCATCCTCATAACCAAAGAACTATTAAAACAAAGTATAAATCAAACTCAGATTTTCTCAACAAGTTTTGAATCCAGCAAATCAAGGCGCGACACATGGAACTTCTTTTAATAATAATAAAAACTAATATACAAGTTTTGAATCCAGCAAATCAAGGCGCCACACATGGAACTTCTTTTAATAATAATAAAAACTAATATACAAGTATTAAAGTCCAGATTCGTGAAAAACATATGCAAAAGTTTCTCTCTTCTTTTTTTCGATCCCTGCCTCTCTCTTTCTTAATCTCTCTTTACCAAATAAAATTTCTTTTCATTCATATTAATAAAAGAATAACACAACATGAATTAAGATCAAGAGACTCACCTTGGTGGAGACCGCGATGGAGAGACTGGCGACAGTTCTGGACTGCGGCTTGGCCGGCGGCACTGCTTCTGCCTGGCGGCAGGATTCATGGCGACTGGACCTACATGTGAAGCTCGGTTGGTGGCCCGCCGAGATGGTGTTGAGTGACCGTGTATTTCATGGCGTAGAGGTCTAATGTGACAGTAGTTCGCATGGTGGTGGAGCTCGATGGTGATGGTACATGGTCGGAGGGTGGTCGTGCTCTGCAATCACAAGGGTGGTGGTGTCGCAGAGACAGATAAACGCGCGATTGAAGCTCCTCAGCATGGTTGAGCGGTGCTCCTGTGCGCGGAGCAATGGTGTTTGTAGAAGGGTGAAAGGCCAGTGGCTAGGTGGCTGGGTGTCACACGATTTGGAGTGGAGATGCTTTGAGGATCTGCGGTGATAGCTGGAGCGGTTGAAGATGTATGCGACAGAGAGTGACGGTTCTCATTTGTGAACTGACAGAACCGTGAGTAATCAGATCTATTCTTCAAACTTTTGCACTATCATGAAAAAGAAAAAACAAATTGTTGTTGTTAGTTGTACCTACGAGTTATGTTACTGTAGATTATGTTAATATGTGATAATGGTTTATTTTGAAGGTGAATAGTAATGATTAGTGTGATACGGTGGCAGAACTGACTGTTAATACTAGTTTGCATGTTGTATTCCCAAATGTCGCGGTAAGAAAGAGTCGCCACTGACTTTTATTTCATCCAACAAAGGAAAAGGAAAAAGAACAGAAAAAACCTTTTTCGAGATGTTTCTGAGTACGAGAGGTAGATTATAGAAAGGGAAGGTGTTAACACCCTTCCTATCCATGGTTTTCCATGGGCTCTTATGTACTTGCTCATTTTGAAATCGCTTGTGTATGTTTTGAAATTTTTTTGTTTAACTTCGTGGTAACCCTTGTATCTGTCCTCAAGAGTGTGACGAAGTTGTTTTTGAAAACTGTTTTGAAAGTGTTTGTGTGAAAGAGTTTTTGTTGTTTTGAGCAAGTACTTAAGAGTTTCTACCTACTCAAAAAAGACTGTTTGTTTTCTCGTTTCCTTTAGACAACACTATCCTACTATTAAGGAGTAGGTAGCCCCATCGTTGGAGTTTAAGGGACATTTGAAGGGACAATTACGATCGCTGAAATAATGGTTAGGAAACCTTAGTAATTACCCTAGAGTCTTAAAGATCTTTCTGAGTCAACATTCAAATGGGTCATTTTTTATCTTTTGAGACTAGAGGACGACCACTAAAATTCCCTATACTTCATGATCGTTTACCGAAGGTAACTGAAGTGGGATAAACCCTAGGAGTGAACATGTGCATGTGTTTGATTTTAATTCATTTATCTTTGCATATTTAGGATTATCTACCGTTTTAATCGTTATTCTTTCCATACAAGCCTATTAGTCTAAACAGTTAATAATAGCGGAAAGTAAAGTGCGAGAATAAAAATCTAGCTATTACAAGGCTTCGGGAAGGGGGTTACATAGCCAAAATAGGGGGAAAATAATAAGTAGGAACAATAATAAAACCTAAAAAAAACTATTACAACCCTTGGCAGTTACAATAATTAGAAAAATAAATAAATAAAACGCGCGCGAGGAGGAACACGAGAATTAAATATCCTAATGAATCTAAGTAATTAAAGGAAATATTTTTGTATTTTTTTATTGAGAAAAATAGTTGAAATTTGCAAGTTAAACCTAATTTTCTAATTAATTTTATTTAACAAAATAATCAATGTTGAAATAATTAAAATAATTAATTTTCAAAAATTAATTTTAATTATAAAAAACCTAATTCTATTTTTTGTTTTAATAAAAAAAAGATTTTGTTTTTGTAAAAATAATTAAACAAATAATTAAAACAAAAGAAATTAAAAAAAGAATAAATTGGGCATGTTACTGTTATTAGCAAATCTGGGGGTGTGAAGCTGAATTGTTAAGCCCATAATAATAGGCCTATCTGCCTGCGTATGGATCCACTGTAGCTGGCCTTCAGGAGGTTCACCATGCACTGCCTTTGTTGGACGTTAGATCTGGATATGATGAGATCTCGTGGTATGAATCTGAGGACGCATGATGGTCTTGTGAAGGTGAGGCGCATGGGATCCTGCAAAGCACGTTAAGAAAATAAAATAACAAGATGCTTGAACTTGGGATCAAACCCAGGTCCCTTTTGTCACCAACGCTGCCTTTTACCATCTGTGCTACATGACTCATCTGTTAACATAATAGACAAATAATAACATAATGTAAACAAGGTGGCATGCCCAAAAAAAAACGCGCCAACATTCAAACTGGCCACTGGGACGTTGCCACATCATTGTCTTCTTCCTCAAACTATCGTTTTAGGCCTGGACTTTTACCTACGGACGATGTCTGTAGCTATAACCCTGCGTCATTCAAAAATTAAATACAAGCAACATAAATTCTAATGGAGACCATGAATCAACTGGGCATGAAGCCCTGGGCACCATGGTATCCATGTCTAACCCTAATTTTTCCTGTATCAGGAAGCCCTAAAACGAGTTTGGAAACCCTAATAATGACATCCTTTTATTCCTGCACTTAAAACTCAATCAAGCCATTCAGAAAGCGTCGAAACCTTATGATAAACAAAAATGCATGGTTAAATTTCATTGAAAATGCATGTATGCACGTAATAAAAAATAAAAAATAGTTAGAGGACCGAATCTTGTATCTTACGATTTTGGATGTTTTGTGACTTGGGAATGATTGGAATAGCTCCAGAATACGTCCAGGAACGAATTGCTGGCTTTGAAATTGCTTGAATTGGTCTGTAGAGAAAGATCAGATCTGCACTTTTCTTTGAAAATTTGAAACTTCGTTTGACTCCTTGAAGCAGGTTGCGCGTCTGAATTCTTGTCTCTAGGGTTCACAATGATCTTCTATATGTATGTGAATCAACTAGGTTAATAGTTTTGGCAAGAATCCGAAGATATGAATGCATTTAAAATCTCTTCAAATCTTTCCAAATTTGGAGATTTCCTCCCTTCTATGGCTTGATGCAATTTGCTCTTCATTGGACAGTTCATGAGATATTCAATCAATGCCAAAATAAATCTTATCCCATTTATTTGATTTTAATTGAATTTTAAATAAATAAAATCAAAATAAATTAAATAAATAAGTAAATGAGACATGGGGTGGTTCATGGGTCATGGACTAGGCTAGGAGTAAGATGCAAGCATAAAAAGTTGGGCCCATTTGAAGAAAAATGCATTTTGGGCATGGTTGACTTTGTGCAAATTTCTAAAAATGGCCAACTTTGACAACGCACATCTCTCTCAATTTTGACCCTAAGAAGGTGTTCTTGGACTTTTTAGAAAGCTTAGGATGTCCTCTAAATAAACCTTTTAGTTTCATCTCCATTGGGTCTTACATGTTCATATAAGAATCTTTGACCCAAAAGGTGTTTTTGTTGACTTTTTGAACTGACCTATAATGTCTGAATTTATATCTTTTCATGAGTGCATTTTTTGAACTTGAGGGCTGAAGATGAGTTGTAGGGAATTGGATTCTCTTCAAAATTAGTCTTGGATGAGAAATTTATGATAAAGCATGAGAAAGTTATGCCTGGTCAAAGTTTGGTTGACTTTTCCTATAGAAACCCTAATTTAGCAACTTTTGAGTTTTGATGAATTTGGGGCATTCCTTGGAGAATCATGATCAACCCTTGATCAAATGATGAATATTACTTCAAAATGTTGATGTTGACCAAAATCTTAAAGTTTGACTGTATGAGGGTCACAGTTGACTTTTGACCTAGTACAGTTGATTTTTAGGCATTTGAGTACTTGATTGGGCAAACTTCTTGTGCAAGGCATGAAACTTGACATGGATGGTCTTGAGAACATATTAGGACCATGGAAAATATTTGAGGCCTTTGGAGCTCACTCATCGTGATGAAAACGGAAACCCTAACTGGAGATTCATAACTTTATGAGAGAGTTTGTCTGATCAACCCTTGGGCATCCTTGAGCAGATTGAGGGGTTCAATGAGCATATGTTGGGTGATATGAGAGGAAAATTTTTGGGGTATAACAGTTGCCCCTGTTCAATCTTCTTAAACCTGAGGATATGGATTGGCTGGTCTGCCTTTCGTGATCTGAAGGTGGAAGATGATTGAACACTAGAGTGCCCAGAAATTTGCACTCGCATGAAGTAATACTGATTGATGATATCGGGAATGGGCTTACAGATTCCATTTGGACGGCGATAGAGAATCGTCGCATATGGGCTTAAAGACGCCATCCAGAAAAAGATATCAGTTGCATAAGAGATTCCTTTGTAAGAATTCCTGTACCTGCCGTTGAGGGGGACTTCGCCGGGGAGTGTTAATTTATGTCTTGAGAGATAGAGGCTAGGAGCTTCGGTTGTCCGCTACTCTACTGGGGAATTAACTCCTAATTGAGGGGATGGAAGTAAACTGCATGTCTGGTCAGGGTCCAGGCTGCACAATGACCTACTGGGGAACTGTGAAATCGACCGTGTCTGGTCGGGTCTAGGTCTTACTGTGTTGTAAATTGTTGTCTAGAGATAAGAGAGAAAGAACCTGGATAATAGGGTTGCTTCGAAATGAAAGCATGGGTAGTAGGGCTATGAGAAGGAACCTGGATAGTAGGGTTGCTTCGAAATGAAAGCCTGGGTAGTAGGGTTGTGAGAAGGAACCTGGATAGTAGGGTTGCTTTGAAATGAAAGCCTGGATAGTAGGGCTATGAGAAGGAACCTTGATAGTAGGGTTACTTCGAAATGAAAGCCGGGATAGTAGGGCTTATGGGAAGGAACCTGGATAGTAGGGTTACTTCGAAATGAAAGCCTGGATAGTAGGGCTTATGGGAAGAAATTTGGGTCATAGGGTTACTTCAAAATGAAAGCCTGGATAGTAGGGCTTATGGGAAGGAACCTGGATCGTAGGGTTACTTCGAGATGAAATCCGAGATAGTAAGGCTTATGGGAAGGAACCTGGATAGTAGGGTTACTTCGAAATGAAAGCCTGGATAGTAGGGCTTATGGGAAGGAACCTGGATAGTAGGGTTACTTCGAAATGAAAGCCTGGATAATAGGGCTTATGGGAAGGAACCTGGGTTGTAGGGTTACTTTGAAATGAAATCCTGAATAGTAGGGCTTATGGGAAGGAACCTGGATTGTAGGGTTACTTCGAGATGAAAGCCTGGGTAGTAGGGTTATGAGAAGGAACATGGGTCGTAGGGTTACTTCGAAATGAAAGCCTGGATAGTAGGGCTTATGAGAAGGAACCTGGATAGTAGGGTTACTTCGAAATGAAAGCCTGTATAATAGGGCTTATGGGAAGGAACCTGGATCGTAGGGTTACTTCGAGGTGAAATCCTGGATAGTAGGGCTTATGGGAAGGAACCTGGAT